TCACCGAGCACGTGACGATACTGTGGCGGAACGCTTTGATCGAGCCCTATTGTATCTGCTCAAACGACGCCGACTATACTTCTTCGACCATGCGACAAAGCTCGTTCAAAACATGGCAGTTCAAATTCATGCTACTGGACACATCCGTTCAGCAGCTATACATGATTCCAGTCTCATCACAAGCAATTACTCTTCAACTCTAATATCTGCGCCCGTCAAGCAGCTGGGGGAGGGGGGTTTGGAGGATTTGGAGGATTCGGGGGGTTCGGAGGGGGCGTAGGAGATCGCACAATAGGTTTCATCGCTGGCGCAGATTCAACTGTAGCAGGCCCTTTACCGCTAGGTTGCGTGGGTTGCTGCACGGCGGGATCGCTTTTTTTGCCGAACTGCCGAATCATCAGCTTGAGATGCTGAGTAAGAGTGTCCGCCGACGGGCGTGCTTGAGGTATGGGATTCCAGCATTGTTCGAACAGCGCCCATAACTCATTGCTGTGCGGGTGGTATTCTTCGATTTTAGGGTGATCTCCTCGCTTGGGTGTTTGGCCGGACGCGACAAGTTGGATTATTTTGGGGCCTCGCGTTTTGACGCCGAACGGGGGGATATCAGTCAGTATCTAGCGTGAAGATATTCGTCAGTTTATAAATCTTTAAGTTTGGGTAAAGGCGCTTACTTCAAGAGACGTCATCGCCCTAGAACAAAGGTGGGTTTAGAACGGTGTAGCCAAAAATAAAGCTATAAGTACACACCATGAATATATGTCTGTGCCGAACGTAACGTGTGGCTCATCTTGCATCAGCTCAGGTCCCTAATGGTATAATTGTGTTTAAAAGACTTTTACAGGTGTCCCAACCGGCGTTACCTACCATATATCGATAGTTAGTATTGTCTCCCGTGAAGCTTTCCTGAAGGTCCCCAGCAATGATCTTTGAATCAAGCCACGTCGTAAACATTGCAAGTCAGGTCCGACTAGGTCATGGTGCGAACCTTTTTTGTATGGCTGAAACCAGAAATCACTGCGCGGCCGCTGTCTTTAATCAAGACATTGTGGATGTCTAGTCCACTATGAACAATTCCGTGGACACCTTGACCCAGATCAACATCTTCATGCAAGTACTTGAGGCCACGAGCGACGTCGGAAATCTACATTTTGATGATTGTGATAAGTATGCCTCGAATATTCCACGAATAACCCACTATCTGAAGCCTTGAGAGTGGAGGGGCTTCATTGTACTTCGTCAGGTAAGTTTTCTATTGCGACACTAGATCAATTATATGTAACTCTGCACTGGAAAACACTTACAGCGTCCCGGTTCTGTAAAAACGGCGAGACCATATACCTGAACCAGACAGGTTAGCAATTAAACTCCCTCGATAGGCCTGTACACACACATTTGAAACTCCTCCGGGGCGGTTGGCGCCGGCTCAACACCCATACCATAGAACGTCAAAATTGCATCGTGCCGTAGCATAGACCAATTCAGTGCCTGGCGAGCAAACCTCTGCAAATCAATAGGAATTAGCGCCACCCGTAATCCGAATTCACACCCCGTACCTCGTGAGTTTTCCTCGCTGTCAACTCATCGACACGATGTCTAAGTTTTTTTATAGCAATTTTCTCCCCCGTAAAGTACTCCCCTTCGTAAATATCATAGCTCGTTCCTTGGTGAATCGCGTGTTGCCCAATGGTGACGAAGTCCTTGCCTAGGACCGTGGATGCTGGAAGGGACTGGCCCGTAAGCTCGGCAACAACAGCCAGTGCACGCTTGGCGTCTTGATGTGGCTGAGCCACCGTTGGATCACCAATAATCTGATCGTCTAATTAGTATTGTGCGTCGTTTATCTCTTGGTAAATTGTTGTAGTCACCTTAAGGTTTCTATTGATTGACTGCTGTGCCCGTGTAGTTAAGCTATCCCCTTGCGACGTTTGCTCAAATACAGCTTGAAGCTCGGCTAATTTTTGTTGATCCTTTTTACGAGCAATCAAAAGCTCGTTCTTTTTTGTAGCTGACTCTAAGTTATCCCTCTAAAATCTGTTAGATAGCTCTAGCATTATGTCGCCAACGGAACTCACCATATGAGATATGCTGGTATGAACCTGATCGAGCCCTTCACACGCAGCATCTATGACGGCATATAGTTGCTCTAGGCCACCCTGTTCTTGTAAAACAACTTCCCATTTTGTACTTGACTCTAGACGATGTGCTACGGTCGTAAATATACTACAATGCGGGTTGCGAGTTATCAATCGATTGCCCCCCTGGCGTGCAGTCACACTCACTTCGAAAGCTGAGGTAAAATCTCAGATAAATTGCCACCCTCTTTGAGATGGTTGGCGGCTTCTTCAATCACGGATACGCCTTGTACTTTTAATGTTTGAAGTTGATTTCTAGGCGTGATGTTATCTCATTCTGATCGGCTTCGGGGGCAAAGGGTATGCGCAATCTTACTTTGATAAAGTAACATTCTCTATACTGGTAAGAAATGCGCGAAATGCCTCTAGCGTTTCCCTCAAAGTATCCGGTTCGCCTATGAACTGGGTCACTTTAGTCGCTACTTGGGCAAACGTCGCCGTCTGGGCCTGCTCGGCTGTGTATTGCGGCGGGGCATCGATATCCATGTGGAAGTGTTATAGTGGAGATACGTGTTGCGTTGTGTAGGTGCTGTTTGGATAGAAGCGGGGGGGCGGCTTGAGACGTTGAACCAGTCTACACATGAGTGCAGGTTATAAGGGAATGTGACGTCAGAAAAAGACGCCGGGGGCTGGAGAATCTGTCCTCGCAGCACGCGCGGGTGTGCGAAGCAAGGACCACAGGACAAACGGGGAGACCCAGTGGCAAGGCATGCACATCAAATTTGGATGTGGTCGACATGATAGGAGGTTGACCTGCGCTGGGGCAGCACGTGACACCTATTTGGGAGACGGGACCTGAGTCTAACCGCTTGCAGCTGTCCCACTAACTAACCCTAGGACAGCCTTGCCGCTGCGCAGCGCTTTAACTGGCATGCATATAGCTATCAGAGCTGGTAAAGCTATGCGACTTTATGCGGTTGCTGGAAAGGCGTGAGTACAATATATCACCTACATAGTCGCCAGATACCACCAGTTCAACCATCTATTGGTAGGAAGCAAGTGTTCTGAACTTACAGCACTCCGGAGTGGTCGCACGTGCGACGAGAGTGTCATTTCAGAGAGCAGCGCTAGAAGAAGCCTTGCCAGTGATGTTCTGCCTGGCGTTGCAAGCCTGCAATGATCGACATGTTCCTTTTCAGCACGCGTTGTGATCCACATGCGATTCGCCTGGCTGAAGTGACGCCACCAGGTGCGGCGCTTTCCACTGCGCGAATTGTGAGTTGAGTACCACCAGACATGCTCACTTCCTTGGGGTTTGATCTGGGTTGCTCGTCCCATGAAAGACGCTCACGACCGCGCCCTGATTGGCTGATCAGAGCAGGGAGGAAAGGAGCATAATCCTCTCAAGACCATAGAATAGAAGCAACGCTACCTTCCGTACTCAGCCGCAATTTCATCTGCCTCACCACCGAAGTGCGATTCTTGAGAAATCCTCAAGAGGTCGAGCCCAAAAACGCCCCAGCGTCTTTGAAGACAACCCTACTTGGTTAGGATTCATATCTCCCGGAGTCGGAGGCAACCCGAAATGTCATGTTTTCAAATAGGTTGAGTAGCACTGGGCGATATGACTCATAAACTCCAAGCAGAGTCAGAACGATACCCATGTTATAGATTATCTTCAGGCCAAGTAGCCGAGGAAAAGACATCGGCGTGATCATGAAGCGGTCCATCGGTATTCAGCTATATAGACCCCCAGGATTCTCCAGAACCGATGAAGTGCAAAAGAAGACGCATCACCAAGAGCTTGAGTAGCTTCGAGCAAACTGGCAGCCAACCTAGTTCTAACCACAAGTATGGTATCGCCGGAACTTCTTAGCAAATATTTTTGTGGTTAAAACGTCTAGATTTGAGATTATATCCACTCCAAGATTGAAGGCTCAACTAGGATTCACGGGTGACTTTTTTGGGTCTTAAAACTTCGTGAGAGCACCAATTGAGATAATGTGAGGCTGCCAGTGATAGATCACTAAAGTTAAATCATGAGCCATTAATCGACCAGGGTGTAACTAGTGTTTTCGCTAGTATGAGCCTAATCGTGATACAGTTTATAGATGGTATTGTAGTAGCACTCAAGCTGATAATAGAAAGAGAAGCGCACAGAGGCGACAACGCGGAGCATGTAGCATTGGAGCGCGAGCATAGGCGTTGACGAAAACCCAGGAGTTACATGGGCAGTTCCTAAGCAGCAAGCAATCAGATACAGCTTGATCGCTCACATTTGTAGAGCCGAGATATGAGAGCCCAGCAGCGAGGAAGGTTTTGCCTTCTCCAAGTCTGGAGATGAATTAGTTTCGTGAAAAATACACCCACCCGCCAGAGAGATTAGATCCAAAGCGAAAGCAGGTAGGTATATCAACAGTTTCTGTGACATGATCAAAATTACATTGAATTAGCCTTAGAAATCCAGTGGTTGTGAACACACGAAGCTCGAGTGACGAGTCGTCGCAGGTAATGTTCTGGTCCAATACACGTGATCATTGCCTTAATCGTCATTGCTTAATAATAATGTTTGTACTACGGCATATTGTCGTATTAAGCCAGGTTTAGTACTGGTGCATGAAACTATGTAGAATTGCTTCATCATTATGAGCTGGGAATCTAAGGACTGATAAATCGCTATATATTCTCATGAGATGGCAGATATCACTGCCCCAAATCACCACATGCTTACCTACGTCAAAGATAAAGCCGCGCCAAAAGAAATAGATCCACAGGCAGTACACAGTACGTGGAGCAGAATGTATTCACTGTACCAAACTGAATACGACTATTCGATTATTGAGGCAAGTGTCGTGGTTGGGCTTGCGTTTGAGCAGCACACACGTGACCCCCAGAGACCGAAGCGAGCCCTCCCAATACGGCAAAACATGACGACTGCGAGATTCGAACTCGCACTCCGAAGAACCAGATATCAGCTTAAAACCCTAGTCTGGCGCCTTAGACCGCTTGGCTAAGTCGCCTATGACGAATATTTTGAGATTTTGCTCTCCAGCAGGTGTATGGATCACGCATACAAGGACAAAAAACAACGAGTGTTTGGTTTCGGAAGTATATAACAAGTGTACTCTTAGAAAAGGATCTGGTCGGTCTGTAATCAACAAACGAAGCGTTTATTAAATAGTTGAATAAGAACGTAGAAAGCATTTAGGCTGGCTCTTACCTCGCAGACCGTCCCGTCCTGAGGAAGACGGTTACTATTCAAATACCCGGATATGACATCGTTTGTGCTAAGGTGAAGATAGGTGAATGGTATGGCTAGAAAGAGATATATTTTTCCTTACCAATTCGAACGCATGCCTAAGGAAGTATGCTGCCGCCGTTTATCAACATGAGACATTATATTAACACTGGTAGCACCATGAACTTACTCCGTATGCATTCCGTTTTAGTAGAATAGCCGACTTGCCAAAGGCGCCCGCCACGAGCTCTGCGGAAGTCAGTGGTGTTACCGGGTCATAATAGTTGCCTATTCAACAAGCTATCAATCAGCCTCTACCTCCCGCTGCAAGAAAACAAACCCGCACCGATGACGATTATTGGATTCGCTAGCGTTTGGTTGAAAGGACCAGCATATCGCTCTACTGCTCGAGCCGGCCAACGATGGCAGTATGTATCTGGCTAGTCGATGGTTGAGTATAAGCCTTGCGAAAGGGTGCCTGACTCGGCTACTCACCATCAACCAGGTCACGGAACCCACTACATGTTCGTAAACTACATGAGCAGAAGTTACTTGATCAAAACCTTAACTCTCGCTCACGAAGTTTTGTCCGTTCATCGGTTGCGTTAACCTCAAAGTCGAACACTCGCTGGCTCGTTCCATTCGAACCGTTTGACGAATCAGAACAAGCAATAGCTTGTGGTGAGAAGTCTAGATCGGGGCTTGACTGGTCGGTATCGTTAGAGTCAGCAGTACGCCGATGAATGAGCGTCGGAATAGGAGCGTGCCGAGCGGCGGCGGCCCGCCCGGTTAACTTAGACGTGGCCGCCGGGATAGTTGAGTTGTGGAGCGCGTCCGAGGTATCACGCAGGAACTGTGCGAGCGCTTTCCAGCCACTTGGCCGATACATGCCGGCCGAAATTTGTGCTAGGAAATTGTCAGAGGAGAGGCGCAGCGCTGATAGGCTCTGCGTACCACGAAGCACTCCTGATGTAATGACCGTCCCGCCTGTGGCTCTGGTATGGTCGTAAGCAAGCTAAAAGGAATAGGTTGGGTCAAATTACCTTTTGTAGGTCTTACTATAACTCACCCCAAGTTGCTCTAACGTCCGATTGAAGATGCTCTCGCTGGTCGATCCGTTTTGGGCAATTGCGCAACGAGATGGACCCGCATCCGCACAAGAAGTTGCAAAACCGTCAAACACCTTCTGGGTGTCAGTCAGAATGATTTCTAGAGTCTTTTTGTGGATCATTGTCAAGACTTATGAGAGGAAAGTCTATTCCCACTCACATCCAAAGGTGGTTTGGTTGACCAAACCCATGGGTTTAATACACCATCCAGAATAACTCGTCCAACACGGTCGGGGAACACTAATAAAATATATAGAAAATCCTAAAAGAATATACTATAGAGGGACTCACTATTGACGAAGTAGTTTCCCAGAAGCGTTCCATAACTTGCGAAGCATGAGCACACTTGCAATAATCCACAACGAGGGTCAAGTACTCACGAAAATCCCCAATAATTAATCTGGTTAGTTCCCTCTAGATAGTCATGAAGCGAGACCATATCTCTGACTGTCGCAGCCGTCCCCATATACTGTAGCATGTGCATACTTTTTGAGTCGCAGCGGTCATAGAATCGAATCAGCGCCTCGTCGACCTCTTGAACGTGCGAGTAAAACTCGGAGCGGGCAGTCGAATTAGAAAAGTCGTCGCGAACTTCCAACGCGACACCACGAATAGAGCCATTCCAAAACGTGTGCGCGTCGGATAGCGAGTCGAAGCATTTGACTCTGGGTTTGGTACCACCGGTACCGCGGGGATCCCAACCTAGACTTTGTTAGCCTGCGAGGCAGAACTCAAGATGTATAACCCACGACTCACTGACGATATCATACTGACCACCCGAACCCTCGATGAGTAAATCGAGATCGTCGCCAAGAAGCCATGAAACACCCCCGTTGCCTAACGAAAACGTCATTGGAAGAAGAAAAATCGAACAATGCTTTACCAACCTGGGCCTCCCGGATTAACGAGCAACGTCCCAAGACGAGGAGTTTTCGTTGCGTTCACCCGGATAACAACGAGTTGAGCCTTTCCAACCGACGCGTCATGATAATTCAAAGGAGTCTCGAACGTGCCGCATTCTCGAGACCGGGACGGATCGCCGCAAGCGGACCAAATGATGTTAGGGCCAGTGTCAACCGAGTTCGCACCAGCATATAAGAAGATTTGTGTAAGAAAAATGAGAGTTGGTATACTGAGCATGGTTGCACCGCGAAAGAAATGTCAAAGAGTGACTGTTGTGCGGGTCAAACCTGATATCGTGAGCCTTATTTATAGACACGACTTGGCCGAGACCACCGAGTAAATAATACAAAGAAATCTACAGTACCAGAGCTTCGGCGCAGTATGAACCAGTGCGCCTTCTTGACTCCATGCTGTCTATTTAAGGGTCAAATTGTTTCTAGGTGGGTACCGTACGCCGGATGCCGACAGAAGCAGGTCGGCAGGTTGGCAGCAAGCGCCAAGCGCTTATCCTTCATGCAACCCTCACACACTGCACAGACGTCGTCGGAATGTCGCGCAACCTTCATGTATGCGCGCTAGATCCTTCTATTACATCCCATTGTAATACTATCTGCACGAGGGAGTCCTTTTCCCCCTTATTCTGATGAGGAAAACACCTTGGTCTCGATAGGTGGCCCAATCCAGAGTCCGGGCTGTGGCCTAATTTGATCACAAAAACCGATCCACATTTTGACATATCATGAGGTACAAAACTTGCAAAAAGACATCTCGCCCCCGTTTTCTTTCGCCCCAAGCTTTGACTACGTAAATTTGGCGATTTGAACACGCAACCGCAACACCTCCTGCATCCCGATAAGGCATGTTAATTGCACCTCTTAGATACGTCTCGTTTACGGACAGTAAATAATTGCTGGAGACTTATTTACGTAGATTGGGCGTTAGATGTGCAGATGCTGGTGGAGAAATGTAGTGCAGTCTATATATCCAAACTCGATTACACCATATTCCTTCCGTGTTGGCCAAAGCAGTAGTCATTCATCTGTAGTTAAAGAACGTCAGTATCCCAAGCAGGCTTGCAGGTCGTTTAGCCTCACAGTCTTAGTCACCTCGGCTGCTGTTGGCCGCGCCTCCGGGTCATGCTCCCAGCAGCTCCTGAGAAGTAACCACAGCTTGTCCGACTGTATACAGTCTGGTCGCTTCGGGGTCTCGCGGTTTCCAGTTATCATAGCTACCAGGGCCGGCAAATTAGGATAATCTATGAAATAAATCGAATTCAGTTTGCAGAACATCATGAGGCAGAAAAATGATATGGAGTCTGACTCAGGTCATGGAAAGGTCTTTTGCCGGTAATTGTTTCCTGGATGGTTGGTCAGAAAGATTCTTGGGGGGTACTGGTGATAATACCAATATTGTCTAGATTTCGAGATGTGAAGCAGTGATACAGGTTTACTGGTAAATAACCTACCATGCCCAGGGCATATATATCTGCTTCCTTGCTACGTGTGGTTGCGCCATTCAATAGCTCAGGCGCCTAAAAGATCTGATATCAGATAGGTATCCAGTCTCCGAGCATTGAACGAAATACCGCCCACTGCGCAGGTATCCTAAGTGTTGGACTGGCGATTTGCAGGGTGTCGGGTTGCAAGGCCGTGGTCGCAAACCCAGCGATAACTGGGATCCCCTTATCGGTCACAAGCACGCAACCCTGTCACACTCGAGGTCAGATATCTCACTAATGGGCGCGCAAATCATCGTACGGCAGTTATCCCCCCATGTATCTGCCACAGCAATGAGCGATCATTAAGAGTTTAACATAAGAATCCCACAACACTCACAATTCCCACGTGGTGCAGATAGTCAACCCCTCTACACACGCATGCGCTCTGCCCAGAAGCCAGGCGATCAAGGTCAGCCTACACGCGATCAGTTGAACCAACATACCATCTTGCAACGAAGGGTATAAGAGCTTGAATGTTTCTCCAAATAACCAGGCAGAGCTCCATACTCGATCCACGGTGACACAATTTGAATCCCCTCATAGTCGAGCATGAATCCTAGAAGCGGCAGGATATGTGGATGGTGAGTTTGTGACCAGGCACATAGCTCCTGGGCCGCTCGCTAAAGGTTGTGTGAGCTACTACTTGGTATGGGCAGTAGAAACAAAGCACTTTAATCTTATCTGCTTCTTTGGTTTCGCCCCATGCTAATTCTGTCTTGATTGCCACGCGGGTCCCGTCACGGAGGTTCTCGCAAAAGACTGTGAATTTACCTCGTCTCATTTGTATAGGAACCGGCCGAGGTAGAGTGCGTTTATCTGTTAAATCTTGACAGCCATTGTTAACCAGTCGATCGATGATTGCGTCCGCTTGAGCTGGTGTCACTGCGACCCGAAGCTTTTGACTCAGAGCCGCAAGAGCTAATTTGTCCGCCTCCCTTGCCTCTATAAGTCTGGACAACTAGATTCAGCGGTTCAGAGGCTAGTACGCAAAACTGTATAACAGGGATGTACTCACAGTTTCCAGTATTTCGGATGCTTTCGGGCGCTCTCCCGGCTCATTTGCCCAGCATTGCGTTAACAGCGACCACAAAGTATTTCCGTGCTTACTCTTCAGCGGAATGTGCGTTTCAGGACGTTTGGGGTGCTTCTTCTCAACAGTGACCATGACTATGACTCTCTGCTCTGTTTTATCGGGATATGGCTCCTGGCCGGTTAGTGCCTCCTTTAGTATGCCGTGGTTAGATACACTTGTCAACGGCCCGTTCAACCTCA